GGTCAAATTGTCGCAAAAAAAAAAAAATAGAAAAAAAAATGGGGGGGTATAAATTATAGGATTAAGATATAGGGGGGTGTAAAAAAATTGAAAAATATTTAAAAAAATTTTTTATATATGAGTGGGATTTTGTGTTGTGTTTTTTTATATTTTTTTGGAGAGAAAAGGGATAGTTTGAATGTAAGAAATGAAAAGATATAAGATAGTAGAGTTTATTTTGTGGGAATGAGGATGAGAAAAGGAGGATAGATGGGCAATGTGAGGAAGGTGGTATTTATGTTTATGTTGGGTGTTAGGGGAATATAGAGAATATGGATGATGGTGATTTTTTGTAGAGAAAAAGTTTTTAATATTATTTTTATAATGATATTTTTAATAATCAGTATTTATTGGAATTCTTAACCCAAGTTCAAAATTGAACATGATTCATGTAAATTCCATAAAAATCATTTACAAGTTGGCTTGGATGGAAAGAGGCCCTTGGAAGGAGCATGATTTCTCAAAGCAGTAACGCCCCAGTCTCCCTGCAGAGCACAGGAAAACCTGTAGTTGACATACTGGTACTACAGGAGCTGGCACAGGTACAGGACCCTGGGCATTGCCCCCTTGCCTTACCAGGGCTGGAGTGGGCTCAACCTACTGCTGGTGGGGAGCCTCAGGGACATGGTTCCTCATGGGTGAGCAGGTGTGAGAAGGTGTGCCCCAGGGAACCCTGGCTGGTGGGCACCAATCACTTTTCAAAGATTTTTTCTCGCATATACAATGGAATCTACATAGTGAATTTTCTCTAGCTCATTACATTAAAAAAATAGACATTTATTAGAGCAATTTTATATTTGTAGCAAAATCAAGCAGAAGGTCCAGAGATTTCCCTTATACCTCTTGTTCCCACACAGGCATAGCCCCCACCAGAGTGGAAAATTTATTGCAATTGATGTATTTATGATCGTAGTTTCACACAGAATAGTTTTACTATCTTAGAAACCCTCTGTGCTCTGTGTACTTTTCCTCTCTCCCCAAAACTCTTGATCTTTTTTTTTGTCTCCACAGTTTTGCCTTTTCCAGAATGCCACGTGGTTGGAATCTTTTTAGATTGGTTTCTTTCACTTAGCAATGAATTTAAGGTTCCTTCATGTCTTTTCATGACTTGATAGCTCACATTTTTTAGTGCTGAATAGTATTCCATTGTCTATATAGTCCATTGACTGACTATACTACAGTTTGTTTATGCATTCATACACTGGGGGATATCCTGGCAATTATGTATAAAGCTGCTATAAATATCTGTGTGCGGGTTTTTGTATACATAAGTTTTGAACTCACTTGGGTAAATAGCAAGGAATGCAATTGCTGGATTATATGATGAGAGTGTTTAGTTTTGTGAGAAACTGCCAAATTGCCTTCCAAAGCAGCTGTACCATTTTGCATTCTCACCAGCGATGAGAGTTCCTATTGTTCCGCAGCTGATGACATTTTGAACTGCCTTTAAAGTACAGACTTGAAGGCCAGAATTCCTCCTATGGTTTGCATCATGCCTTCATTGTTCCCTCCTACATCTTTGGCTAGGATGCAGTCTGTGGCGATTTTGAACATGGCTCTAATGTTCTTTGGCATTTTTCTCATCAAGAACCATCAAGTTCTTTTTCCCACACCAAGATGTGTGTTTCCCATCAAGACCCTTCCTTTGAACCTGGCCTCTGTGACTGCTTGACCAATGGAGTGTGATGGAAGTGACATCTGCCAGGCCCGGGTACAGGGCTGAAGGAAATGGTGGCTTCCAATTCCTGTCCCTTGGGCCTCAGCTACCATACTGCAAGGAAGTCCAAGAATTAGGGAAGAAGCCACGTGGCAGCGCAGGACACCTGATGCTTCCACTCCCCAGTCTCAAGTTGCTTCTTCCAAATTAACTCTTTCCATGGTGCTGGAGTTCCAGACTCACAGTATCTGGGAGCATGATAAAATGGTTGGTATTTTTGCCACTAAACTTGGGGTGGTTTGTTACTTAGCAGTAGATAAAGGGAACCTACGTGAGTCTGCATTTGATTTTTCTCTCTCAGGTCACTCAGTTGCGCTAAGAGACAGAAGAAAGATGCCTTAATTGTCTGCCCAGTGTCCCCTCTCTTCTGCATCTCCTAGGGGCCAGTGCAGAGGCTGGGCTGAGTTGAACCATCTGTGGGCAGCAGTGGGTGAACAGAATATATAGTGTATGCAGTCAGAGCAGGCAAAGGCTGGTGGCTAAAGAGGCCTGCACAGTGGGAGAGCACAAGGACCCCTGAGAGAAGGTGGGATTTTCAAAGGGGAGCTGCAGACAGATTTCCTTGTGAAGTTGGGGTGGAGGACTGATGGAGATGGCTTTGAATCACATCTGTCTGTTGATAGAAGCCAGGGGCACTTCACTGGATCATCCACAAACATAAAATATACATATCCACACATCTATATAAAACCTACCACTACTTATATAATGTAAGCAAGGGATTTTATTACAGATATATCAATTTATATATTCAAGTACTATATACTTGAAAATCGCCACCTTTAGTATTTTATGACTGATGCTGCTTTTTGCTAAGAACATTTAGAAAGCCCCTATTCTGGAGTTTTCCTCAGGAATTTCCTAAGTCATCCAAGAAAAGTGTGACTTTATAGTTAGATTTTGGTGAAATCTTCCTGCCCAGCTCAGGAATCACCACATCATTTCTGACACTGCCCCAGTCACTTCTGACTGAAGAAATTCAGAACCTTTCCATGGTACAGCACCAGCACCATGAATTATGTTGTAGGTTTTCAGTATCGTTATCTGCATCCAATCCTCATTCCTGACTGCCTAAATCCCTAACTGGACCTGACTTCAACAACCAAGATGTTGGGTTGGCAGTGACTAGAGATGGAGAGCTTGAAACTTGGTCCGGCGTGGAACCCTGCTCTGTGTGGGCTGGGACATATAGATGCCAATCCCTGGCAGGTGGGATTTCTTCCATAACTTAGGCTACATGAACCTATTCCTGGAGCAGGGGTAGTTGATCCCATCACAAGCATTTAACAGCTACATAAAGAACATGGAGCTTGTGATGAAGAAGGAAGAAGGAAGCATGCGGTCAGCCCTGCTGGCCAGGCTGAATCAACAGGTAAATATTAGTAACACAGGCATTAGGTGCTATATGTTTGGCCATAGTTGCCCTCTATGTGCTTCATGATCCTCCTTTTTACCTGTTGACCTGCACACCAAGGCTTCCCAGGTGTGGATGCTATTCTGTAAGGGTGACAGCAACCCAGGAATTTCCAACCATTTAAGGTGCCTGTACCTTCATTATCTGGGCCCCCTGTGACACTTTCTATCCTGTATTGGTGTTTCTTGAGGTGTTAGAGGAGTATGCTCAGGCTCAAGGATGAGCATGGATGCATCAGCATTTCTGCCGTGGTCACAGGCTCCACAGTACCCTGCCCCACATGGATGGAGTCCCCAGGTACAGCACACGTGAGTTGTGTCCACACATGACATGCATAGTAATCCAATGTGGGGTGTCTCAAATGCTGTACTGAAACTTATCTCAGACAACGTGGGCTTTCTAGTGGTCGTGGCTAACCCCAGGCCTGCAGTGCAGCAGTGTCCACTGTGTTCCAGGAGGTCCAGAGGTCCTTTAGACCTTTGTACCCGCTCCTGGGTAACCTGACCACACCCTGTCCTTTGCAACGTGCTTGTTATAAAGTCTATGCCTCCCAAATATCTAGCATAGCCAGACTCCACAAAGAAACAATTCTCCCAGAGAGATTTATAGAGATATTTCCCAGAACTTCTTGGGTTTGTCTGCTACGTGGTGGAGGACCTAGGAGCCTCTGAATTCTTGCCAATCCTTAGGCAGTGATTGTGGGGCTAAGGCCCACTTGAGCTGCCTGGCCCACTGCAGGCCTGTGTGTCTGTGTCTGTGTGTAGCTTATGTGTTCGTGCTTCTGTATGTCTGTGCATGTGTGTTGGTATGTGTGTATTTATGTGTCTCTCTATGTGCTGTTTGTATTTCTGTGTGTGTCCCTGTTTCTGTGTGTGGTTAATGTGTCCATAGTGTATGCATGTGGCATGTGTGTGTCTGTGTTTACATATTCTGTTCTCTGTGTGTGTGTGTGCCTGTCTTAGCTTGTGCATGTCAGTTGTAGTTTATGTTATCTATGTGTGCGTGTGTCTGTTTAGTTTATGTGCCTGTGTGTCTGCGTGTCCGTGCATGTGTGCCTGTCTTAGCTTGTGCATGTCGGTTGTAGTTTATGTTATCTATGTGTGCGTGTGTCTGTTTAGTTTATGTGCCTGTGTGTCTGCGTGTCCGTGCATGTGTGTGTCTCTGTGTTTATGTCTCTTTGTGTGTGCTGAGAGGAGGAGAGCTTTCCAGTGTTACATGTCCAGAAATGTAACACTGGCCGCAGCCCTGGGCTGGAGAGGGAACAGGCCATGAGAAAATGCTGCTTGGGTTTATCAGCAATATCTGAGAACTCTTAAAATGCAGAAGAGAAAAAAGGCAAAATGTTCACTCAGGGAATGAGGGTGGCTCAGCGGTTGGGCAGCTGCCTTTGGCCCAGGTCGTGGTCCCGGGTCCTGGGATCAAGTCCTGCTTTGGGCTCCCCGCAGGGAGCCTGTTTCTCCCTCCGCCTGTGGCTCTGCCTCTCTGTGTGTCTCTGTGTCATGAATAAATAAAATTAAAAAAAAAGAAAATATTCAGTCAGTTTACGTTTTCCCAATTCCTGCTCCCAGGGAACCACCTGTTACCAGGCCGGGCAATAGGCACAGCGTCTGGCCTTTCCGTGAGGGCCTTGCTCTGGCAGCAGCTCCCAGGGAGGGAGCCCCTTCCCTCCGCAGGCCCCTTGTCGACCCCGCGGGTGGCCCCGGCCGGGGGCGTGGCCCGAGGTGCCGCCAGGGGCGTGGCCTGGCGGGAGGCGTGGCCTGGCGGGGGCGTGGCCGAGCGGGCCAGCCCGGCTCCAGGCCGCCCCGCCCGCTGCCCGCGCGCGGAGCTTCTCGCAACCCCGCTTTCCGCTCAGCGGTCGCGTTGCTGAGCGTCCGTGTGGACCGTGCGGCTGCGGTTCTGGAGGAGGATCGAGGGTGCAGGCCGGTGGGGAGAGGTGAGGCGCCGAGCCGTGTGCTCCGGGGAGCAGCTGGTGTGCGGTGTGACTTGACGGAGGCGAGCGCGTCGGTGGGAAGGTGGGCGGCTGCAGTGTGAGCTCCTCCGGGTCCGACGCGGTGGCTCCCGACAGGCAGGCTCCCGACCCCCGGCCCCTCACCCCGGACGGGCCGCGCCGCCCTGAGCGCAGCGTGGACGTCTGCCCGAGCGGCCTGAGCCCCAGCGCTGGGCTCACACGTGAGCGCGAGTCAGGCGTCCCCGCGGTGGAATGCGCCGGGGTGGGGGGTGGGGGGGTGTAGGTCACACCACAACCCGCAGGGCCCATTTCGCGCAGGCCGCACACACTGGAAGGGCGGACTTAATGTCCGAGCTCCTTCCACGGACATGGACATTGAGCACAAGCTTCGCTGAGGGTGGACGTTTCCGTGCCTGCAGACCAGGCCTGGACCAGGGGCGCGCCAGGGGCCTGGCATCGCACCACAGACGCCTGGCTGCCCGAGAAGCCCCCGGGTGACCCTCCGAGCACCGACCTCAGGATGCGACAAGGCCACAAAATGCAGTGACTCCGAGGAAGAGCAAACAGGAGGCTGTCCTCAGTTGTGGGCAGCCTAGGACATGCCATCCCTGAGGTTGGCATATAGGGGTGGCACACAGTTTGCTTCCCAGACTCCAAGTCCGCTGGGGCAGGACCTGTGGGGGCTGCGAATCCGAATGCTTCTGGGGGTACCAGCTCTCATAATTGCTAATGAGGATTATATCTCATTAAAAACAAGAGAGGTGAAAGTTTTAGATAAACTGTAAAGGACCGCACAGAAAATGCTTGTTATGGCAACTTAGTTTATAAACACTTGAGTGCAGTTGTTCATATCAGATGTAAAGTGAAACTGATTTAGGGCCATAAGTTTTACTATACTGATGAAAAGCAAATACTGATACTGTACTGACCTTTGAGAAGGTCAGGATGCCTTTGAAGTTAGCTGAGGTCTGAGGAATTGTGGAGGTAAGGAAAGCTCTGGCTGGAGGTTCAGCAGTGCCCACACCTGGGACTCCTGGGAAAGGTTTTAAGCTAGAGGAAAACATGGTGCGATGTGTATTTTGGAAAGATCACTGTGGTTGGGTGGTAGCTAGCTGAGTCTGGCCCACTGAGAGGTGGCTGCAGAACCAGGGTCAGGGGGCACTTCATGGTAAAGGGTCTATAGGGTGAGAACAGCCCTCAGGCTCTGGGTTTGTGATGGGTGCATCTAGACGGATGGTGGGACTAGTCACAGGCCCTGAGAAAGGGCCAGAAGTAGCCTGAGACTTCCACAGAGGCAATCGAGCACCTCTGAGACATCAGGGGAGACAAGGAGGAAGCTGCACATAGTGATCTGGGCTGCAGAGGGGAGCTGGGGGCATCGCCTGCCCACCAGAGAGATCTAAGCCTCTTGGGAAAGGGGAGAGGAGTAGGGCCTTTTAACTTTGGGGCATAGGGGGGCCGTGGGTTGTGTTGGGGAGGAGTTAGGTGTGCAGGAGAGACACAAAAGGCCAGAAAAGGGTAAGGATTACATAGAGGCTTGAAGGCTCAGGGGAGATGACCAGCAGAGGAGGGAGTAGCCACTGTGCAGCATCTTTCCTATGTAAATAGGAGAAGAGACCCCACAAACCAGGTCTCTCTGGTTAGCTTCTGTGGGCAGCTTTCCCATGCCTCCTGCCCCCACTCCTGCCCCGTACCCTTGGAGAGTAGGCTACTTTCATCCAGTCGCCCATGCTACCGGAGTGGCCCAGGCCCGCGTGAAATGGGGCCCAACGTGGTGGCCTCTCTGGCCACTCAGTGGTGAGGTCACTGCTCTGGCCGCACTGCTGTGGGTTGAGTGCCCCAGCCTGCTGTGCCCTGCGAAGCAGGAGTCACGCTGCACAGAGACGACAGTGAGGCCTAGCCCCAGCACAGGTCTGTTTTCTGAGGGGCAAAGGATAGTTTCAAATTGGTTTGCATGGAGGATGAAAGTCAACAGCACAGCAATACGGGAATAAGGGGAACAGCCTGAGATGCAGGTAGAAGAGATGGCCTCTCCCCGGAGTGTAGGCTGGTAGCTGGGCCTGCTGTGAGAGCGGGGGTCCTGCCAAGGGCAGGAGGTGGCCCAGAGCGGCCCAGTTCCCGCCTGCAGCAGGGACAGCATCGCCCCTGGAGGCCCCTTGGGCATGCTCCTGAGTATAGCCCACTCGTCACCTTCCCTGGGCACAGCACAAGAAGGGCACCTCTCCTCACAGGCTCAGTCAGAGACTGTTTAACACGAGAGCATAAAAGGGGTTACAAACAATGCTGTTGGGTTGAAAATTCTAGAATCTTCTCAAATTCATGTGTTGCAAATCCCATCTGAAAGGATATTGGGTCAGACTGTGCTGTCCTGGTGTGGGGTGGAGACACAGCCCACTCTACTACTCACAGCAGAGACACATCTGTCTTTTCACTGGGTAGCTGAGAAGGCAGTGACCCCTGGGGCTGGCCTGTGCTGGCCTCCTCGCCCAGGGCCTGTGCCTATCCCTTCCCAGGCTTCATCAACTAGAAAAAGTGCAATGGACTCAGACACCACTGACAGAGCCACACCCCTGCAGACACAGCTGCTCCCTGCGGAGACAGCCCCCTGGACAGCTCCGATCTGACTGTGAGGCTTTGGGCCTGAGCAGGGCTTCACGTGGAAAGGAATATTCAATGACTGGAGTGTTTTTTTAGGAGACTGTCCACAAGAGGAAAGGATTAACTTGGAGCAATTTCTGTTTAATAACAAGATTTTCACAGCAGCCAATATACATCTTTCTTTTTCTCTTTTCATTATTCATGTCAAGTGAACTTGAAGAAAAATGTTCTTAAAATTTATGAAGGTACTATATTCCAAACGATGTATATTGCTGCTGCTGATTTATGCACTACTGCAAAACCAACGTGTCGGTCTTCATTCAGTAATTCCATTTGTCTAATTGGCATGTCAGTGCAGAGGAAGGCACCAAATCCTCAGGACAGGAGGCAATGGAGTAGATCTAAAAGATAGTTATTTAAGTACAGCTTGCTGGGCTGAGGGGCACCGAGAACAGGTTCCTGGGACCCCAGTGGTACTCATGCTTCCTGTCCCACAAGCCTCCGCCAGCCCATTTGCACCAAACCTTAGCTCTGCTCCATGAATGCCAGCAAACTCTATTATGCCCACAAAACCCCAGCCAAGTTCTGCTGTCAAGAGCCATCAGGAGGGGTGGGAGTGCCCAGGCCTGGCTTTAGCATCTGGGAACACACCTTATGGATCCCCTTTGTAATATCTCAATTGTCCCAGTCATCCCCTCAGGTCAGAGCACCTAACAACAGCTGCTGGACCACGTTGAGAAGGGCCCAGAATTCCATTCTGTCTCAGCAGGGGCAGGTCTCCTGCCTCTGTGCACTGAGCCCTGACCTTTGGCCACTCTTGTACCAAGAACCATCCTTCCATTGAGCCCACATCTGTGCTGTGGGCACATCTGCAGGGGAAGCAGCAAGCCCAAACGCACAACCCAAAGCAGGGTTGGTGAGCTTCAGCTATGCCTTCAGGCATGATATGGGCAGGGTGTCAAGCCTGTCCTCCCTTTGCAGGATGGGTCTATATGGGAGGGCCCTTGGAGGACCTGGAAGGATGGGGAAGTGCTGCTACAAGACTTCTGGGGAAGGAAACAGAGCCAGAGAACATACTCAGGACCAGGTAGAAAGACAGGAGCATTCCGTGGGGTTTTATGTGTCAGCCATAATATGTTTTTTTTTTCTTTTCTAAAAATCTGTGAGAATTTGATCATTTTGGTATGAATCTTGCTCAGAATGAAAGTCCTGGCTCAGTGATAGTGTAGGCCTGGCTGGCAGATGGGCACTGTCTCTTCTTTGTGGAGTCTTAGGGGTGAGCCCTAGGTTTCTGTCTGCAGGTCAGACATACGGGACTCAGTGGGAAGAGATCAGGATGAGACCGTGGATCCAAGGGAAGTGCAGCCTCAGGTTAGAGTGCTGGGGGCATTCCCAGAGGTTGGTCCATGGCCTAGGATGTTGGGAGAGTCCCGCCCAGAGGATGGACTGTGGCCTGGGATACTGGGGGGCATTCCTAGAGGATGAGTAGTGGTGTGAGGAGTTGGGGTCCCCAGAGGATTGATCGTGAGACTGGAGTGTTCCAGCCATCTGGTGAAAATTCATGAACAAGTGCAAGCAGGAGGATTTGGGATGTGTTGAGAAGAAATGATTAAGAAAGGTAAGGGAGAGAGACCTCGGGGTGAGCATAGCCCTTGTGAGCCTGAAAAGGTGGCCAGGAGGTGAGGTGAACAAGAGCAGAAGCATCGGGCACTGCTGAGCCAGGGGGCAGGAGGAGGCGGTGGGCAGGAGACTCAGCTCAGAGCTAGTTGGATCAAAAGATAGACCTCTCCAGAGAGTGGCCAATGTCTAAATTCAAGATTGAGCTCTTCTAGGGAGGGTGGGCCCAAGGTGAAGGCTGGGAAGAGTGGAAGGAGCCACCAAAGGAGAATGAGGAAGAGCTAGAGCCTCAGTGAGCCCTGAGACTAAAAGAGACGGCAGTGCAGGGAAGGCCGCTGAGAACCTGAGAAAGGGCCAGAGCGTGGATGTTATTAGAGATCACCCTGACTAGATTGTTTCCTATCAGGTTTTTTTTTTTTTTTCAAAATATAAGTTATTTATTTGGTCACAGAATCTAGGGCCTGACACTGAATAGAAAGAACATTTAGGAAAGGCGACGGGCCGGCAACAGGGGTCCAGTCATTGCCTGCCACCATCCCCACCCCACCCCCGCCCCCGCCAGGTACAGAGTGATGGCCGAGGGCTGAGCTCAGTTATATTGTCCCTTAAGCTCCACTCTCCTGCTCTGGGGAGGGACCCCACTGGGATCTGTCCAAGGACAGCAAACCATGCTGGTCTGCAGGGTTACCACCCTGGCCTTTCGTCTATGTCAGGGCAGGCAGCTGGCAGCGGCAAGTGCAGGCAGAGGTCACACGGAACATAGGATTTCT